AAAATATATTTTCCCCACAAGCTTAATCAGATAGTAGAAATATAATGAACTGTCTGTCAATTCCGATTGTTGACATATAGTATGAAATATAATTGACCTTTCTTGAATGATGAAAATGGACATCCCAGTCCCTCTGGCTGGAGTCTTGTGCTTTTTTATTTTTAAATCTGAACATGTACACAGGTGTCTTTCTTTGCTGCTGAAATGAGACAGGATATTCTTTGTAACCTCGTCTAAAATTACTATTTACGGTGAAGTGCCTAAGATTCCTTTTGTCCTACTTATAGTATTTTCAAATGAGTCATTGGAGCTAACACTCATGTTGGAAGACTAATTCAAAAATATGTCTTTGCTAATTTTATAACGAGTACTATCTGGAAAAAAGATTAATAAGGTACTGGATTGAGAAGCTACCAGTTTAATAAGTAGCTTAATAGGCAACTAATGGCAGGTATTCATATGCTGTACATGGAAGATTTGTCTAAGTAGCAACTTTGGAAGCAACTGCAAACTCTGAAAGCCTTATTTGCTTGCATCTTTCTTCTACTTCAAAGAAACACACACAAGAGAGAGACACACAGAGAGACAAAAATAATGACTATGGGAAATACCATGGTATAATAGCTGTTTGCTTGGTAAGTATGAAAAAGTTTCTTTGAGCCTGTGTGCCCATTACATGTGATTTTGAATTTTTTCTTTCTTTAATGCAAAACTTTACACACTCATTGGACCATGAACAAATGATATTTGTTGAGCCTGCAAAACATGCTAGGCTAAAATGTAGTTGGCTAGAATATTTAATAGCCAATCGAACATGTCTAAAGGTAATTTGGGAAAATTTGAAAAAAAATAATGAGAAGAAGAGCTACATTTTACATTTAATTTCTCTCTTCTTGCTCTCTTTTTCGATGGTCTTAGAGCAAAAACAAAATACATGTTTGCAATCTGAGGAACACACATTGGATAGGTAAGCATGACTTACAATAGATCAGGAAGGAAATGTTAATACACTTCAGAAATAACCTTCAAGCTAAAAAAATGCTACCTTAGGTATTACTTTGACCTTCGGCTACAGCTTTTAAGATTTCCAGGTGAGAGCAGTGATTTTCTATCAAGCTATATTCATAGATTTTCCAGCTTCATATATTGTGCACATTCATTTTAGATACTCAGGCAAGAACTATGGTTTTATTCTATAAGTTGTATATTTACATTATTGGTAAGAAATATATGTTATAGTTAATAATCTTCGCTCCTGGTAGCTGTAGGGATATATCTGAGGGAAAGATACATGCTTAGATTTTTGTGTGTGATCTGCTAAACAAATTTGCTTTTAACAGGGTATAACAGTATCTCAGCGAACTCATTGCTTGCAGGCATTATAATATTGTTTTGTGTTAATTGGTTTTCCAAAATGGCAATTAATATAACTGAAGATCAGGGTTGTTCTATTTCAAAGAAATAGAGGTGGTAAGGTGAGGCTGTAGAGGCACCAAGGTAAGGAGTATGGTGTTCAAGCACCATCAATGTACTTTGCTCTTTATCTGTATGCTGTGCTTTACAAATAACAGGCTTGATAGATCCTTCTTCAAGAGGCTTGCAGTCTAAAAATAGACGCAAGGAAAGCTGAAGAAAAGGAGGGGAACAGAAGCAGGAGTAAATGGAAAAATGTGTAATTACTTTAGATAGCACCATCTTAAATCTACTTAGGGTCTAGCGCGAAGAGGCTGCTCCAAATACTTTTTTAGGAAAAAAAAAAAATGAGCTCAGGTTTTAATGTTTAACATGCGATTACCTTGTAGAGAGCAGATGTGTGTTGGCAATGCTGGAATAGGCCCACATTGAGATGGCTGTGGTACAGAAAAATGAAGGAACTGCTCCCACTGAAAGACATGATTAGGCTGTGATTTTTGTGGAACTGCCAGAACAAGGAAAACTCTTTCAGGTAAATGTGCTTGTTTTTACTTGTGGGGAATCTAAACTTGAGCTGTACTACTCACGTTTGCTTGCGTGTGAGCACAGCTCTGCACACAGTCGGGGCTCTGTCACGTTAGGGCCTTGGATCAGGTGGAGAGGGTGCTGATACGAGGGCATTTCAGAAATAAACCTCCATTTGGTTATCAATGACAGACACTCACAGACATTGAAAGTTTTATACATTAGAAAACTACAGCATTACATTACTTTTTGACATAATCGCCATTCAAATTAAGGCACTTGTTATAACGTCTTGCAAGGTTTGAAATTCCTTAGTGGGCCATGGGGGGGGAGGGTGATCAAAAACATCCCAACTGAATTGCTTCAAAAGTTCTTGAGTGCGTCTAGCAGTGTGCGGGTGAGCATTATCGTGAACCAACACCACACTGGAAATGGTGCCATAGAAAATCCCGCCAAATGTGAAGATGCCAAAGGAGTACCTCTAATGAAGTTCATGGAGTGTGGTTCAACCATCAATTCAGAAGTCTACTGTGAAACGTTACGAAAACTCAGATGAGCCATCCCTAACAAGCGTCAGGGCATGCTGACAGATGGGACCTGCAGCATGCCTCTTCTGCCAGATCTGATTTGAGGGGCAGATATAATAGGGAAGAGGCTGTCTCTCAGATAACCTGGCCCCAGGCCATGAAGGGCTTTAAAGGTCAAAACCAGCACCTTGAATTGGTCCTGGAATGCAAACAGGCAACTAATTCATCTTGTGGAGCAGAGAAGTAACATGCTGTGCTAGAGGCACACATAACTCACTGCGCCACTGCATTCTGCACCAGCTGAAGCTTCTGGATACTGTACTCTTCAAGGGTAACCCTATGTACAGCACATTACAGTAATCCAACTGGATGGTGATTAGGGAATGACTGACTGAATAGAGCCCCCAAATCTAGAAATGGATGCAACTGGTGCACAAGATAAAGCTGTGCAAAGGTCCTCCTTTGTAGCTTTTACGAAAATACTGTTAATTTAACTATGGTTTCTTTGGCACATTTTTTTTGTGTTTATGTAACATATTTGAACCATAAACTAATCATATGAATTGGGTTTGCATAATATGTTAGTTTAAAATATGAGTGCATACTTCCTGATTCAGTGGCTATGTTAACTCATTATGGTTATTCATCATTAACTGAAGTATGATTTACTGAATTAACTCACCTGGCTTGAAGAATAAATTGAGCCACAAATTTGTATGTTATATAACAGGGCTTTTCAACCTTTTCACCCATTGTACCACTTTTAGGATATGGCAATATCCGAGTACCACCAGTCGCCTAGCAAGGTGTCAAAAACTTGATGACCAAAAAAAAAAAAAAAGGAAAAAAGTGATAAAGTACACGTAGTCCTCGACTTACAACAGTTTGCTTAGTGACTGTTCGAAGTTACAATAGCACTGAAAAAGTGCCCCCCAAGCCACAGCCGAGCAAGACACCTGCCAGCCCGCCCAGTGGGCTCTTCCTCCTGTCCGAGGTTTTCATTGTTGTGAGCATTTCTGTTGAGGATTGGCAGCGGGAGTGGAGTGGGGGGTGTTTGGTTTTTATTCCCCCCCTCTGCTGGGTGGTTGCAGCAGGTTTTGGTCACTTCACATAACCCTGGGACACTGACCGTCATAAATATGAATCAGTTGCCAAGCATCTGAATGTAAATCACAAGACCCTGGAGATGCTGCAACATTCCAGCTGATCGGCGCTTCTTCTGGGCTCAGCAGAAGCGCCAGGATCAGTGCAGAGCTCCAGCTGGAGCCTGGCTCTGATCCTGGCGCTTTCACTGAGCCCTGACAGCCCTGCAGCCCCAGCCATCTCTCGCTCAGGCTTGTGCAATGCTGCCACGGGTTCAGCTCATTCCCCTCCCCCACTACCATTTTTCTAGGGTGCTCACGTACTACCTGCAAGGTGCCAATGTACCACAGGTGGTACCCATACCACTGGTTGAAAAGCCCTGTTATATAAGATAGATAATAAATTTTAGAAATTGATGAATACATAAGCTTGCTTTTTAAAAATTTGCATATTAAAGTTCCTTTCAGAGACCAAGCTGGGGAGGCAATAATTCTATGAGATGATAGTTGCTTGTTTTAATAACAAGGTTCATCAAATCAGGATTCCCAGAAAAAAATATTACTGCATCTTTTTCCAAATCCCATTGGCTCTTTAGCACTTAGGAATGTCAGAGATGAAAAGGAAAGAGGATGATAATGTAAATGAAGTTTCAAAAGATAGTCCAGGGGGAAAATAGTAGAAATCACACTTAATTTTATTTATCTGTCATTGTGGCTTTTCTTATCAGAGTTCTGTGAAGGATCACTGTGGGATGCCTAAACAGATAGTCAGTCAGTCAGTCAGTCAGTCAGATATAGCTAGATAGAAAGACAGACAGACAGAAAAACAGAATAGTCATAGAATCTTCTGAATGGCCTGAAACCAGGGATGTGTTCCCAATTTGTTAATAAGGGGGTCTCTAATAATAGATGGAAGAGGAAAGAGTAAAAATAGTATTTACTTGATATTCTAGGAAAACAAACACATACTTTTTCTTATTTTTTCTGGAATCAAATTAGTGGAGAGAAATGATAGTGATTAATAATGCTACATAAAGAATGTGTATCTGCTTTGGGTCTTCTTCATGTACCCTCCTATCTGGTATACGTTACATATGTAGAATCAAGCTGCAGTTTCATTTATTAATTCAATTTCAATGGGTGCCATTCAAGATGCAGCTCAGCAGAGTGTATACAATTAAAAGCAACAAATGATAACCAATAAAATAAGTTATGCTAAAACATGTTGCACTGGAGGCAGTTCAAAGTAGCAGCATAATCAGAACGGGTTCACAAAAATCTTCCAGTTCCTGGAAGAAGAGCCAAATTTTCATAACTTTTCAGAAAGTAGGCAGACTTGGGGTCATCAGGATTTTTGGGGGATGGTAATGATGGATTTCATACAGCAAGTATGGCAACAGAGAAGACACACCTCCTGGATCCAGTTGATACCATTTGAGAGTTGGTACCTGGAACATGCCAACCCCACAACAAGATTTTATCTTGTTTAATCACTGAGAGTTCTTTGGGATCAGAGTGCTCTACAAATGTAATTAATAAATAAACAAATTGCACTGATGACTTTTTCAAAGAAAAGCTATTTTAATATTGCACCAATTTTCCAGAGGAAGATGTTTGGTTTCAGTTTATATGTTCTCTTGTCCAGCTTTCCCGATCATCTTTTCCCTTCCTAACCGTAAAAAAAATAGCAATGAAAACAATTATTTATTTTTAAATATACATCCTTTCCTGTTCAGTATAGTGCCAGTGTTGGTGCCTCTGGCCTACTTGTTTCCTGCTGCCAAAAATGGCCCACATTCTTTGGGTTTCAAATTCAGCACTCAAATAACTTTTATGCCTCTGTTCAGAATCCTCAAACCCGAGCCTCGGTTTTTGTAAACAAGCCTGCGAAACTGCATCACTGATCTTGGATTCTTTCCAGGTTACACTTTGTACTCTAATAATTCATTCCTGCAGCACCTAGATCTGTGAGAGCTCACATTTTCTGTGAGCGCTTGGAGAAGGGTTTCCGAATAATAAAGCCAGAAGACATGGCTTTTAGCAAAGATTATGAAATGTATAACATGAAGGGTCTAATGGAAAAATGAGGCCAACCTCATACTAAATAGAATTCGTTCCCAATAGCCCCAGAATAGAATTAGTCTAATGCCTACAAGTGTGTATTATATGTTATCTTGCTACTGACCTTGCTTTTCTGTAGTAGGTCATCCATTGCCAAAGTCATATTTATTCAGTTGCTTGAAAAATCTGAGATAGGGCAGAGGTAAATTATGCAATTGGCAGAGCTGCAGCTTTGTGATGAAACATATTGTACTAAATTGGTCTAGGGCAATGTGAAAGTCTTGGTCATATCTTTCGCTCCTCATTGCTATCAAGTGCAGTAGACTTTCTCCTTCTCTTATCTCATGTCAATTGGAAAACAAATTGGTTGATTACTGGATGTAAAATCCTTCTATTGATGAAGTTGATTAACTACCGTGTTTCCCCAAAATTAAAACCTTATATTTTTTTTGCCTCCAAAAGAGGCACTAGGCCTTAATTTCGGAGAATGTCATAACTTAGGACCACCACAGCCAGGCGTTCCACACCCCAACACCTGTTGTGCCACTGCTTGACTTCTTCTACGGTCACTTGATGCCACTTGCAGCCGGACGCCATGTTGTGCATTGCGCTGTTGCCGTTCTTTCCGGCAGGACACCGCATGGTGCTTTGTGCCATTTCTGCTGCTCACGGCAGGATGCTGCATGGCTCTTTGGGCCGTTTCCGCAGCAGAAATGGCCCAAAGTACCACACGGCCTCTTGCCGCAAGTAACAGGAGTGGCTCGAAGCGCATGAGCAACAGAAGTGGCCTGAAGCGAGCGAGCAAGGGAAGTAGCCTGAAGCACTGCGCAAGCAATGGAAGCTGTTCGAAGCACTGCACAAGCAGTGGAAGTGGCCCGAAGTGCCATGCAGTATCCTACTAGAAGGAGCGGCAATGGCACAATGCACCACATGGTGACCAGCCACAAGTGGCGGCAAGCAGCCACAGAAGTAGTGGCGCGATAGGTGCTGGGGTGTGGGAGGCCTGGCAGTGGTAGTCCTACCAGTAGGGTAAGCGGGTGTAGGGTGTATGGGGCAGCTTCACCCCCTCTGCTCCCGCCCTTGAGGTTTAGGGGTGTGCCTCGCCCCAAAACTAGGCATAGTTTTAGAGTATTAGGCCCACCCCCAAAAATCAAACTAGGGCTTACTATTGGGCTCAGTCTAACTTTCGGAGAAACATGGTATGTAGGTGTAGTTGTCAGGACTGGTAAAGCAGAAGCTGGACAGTCTAAAGTATTTCTTAAGCAGAAAATTCCTGAATTTGAACAGAAATAAAAGTATAGTTTATAGCAGAGGTCTCCAGCCTTTCCAGGCTTGGGGCCCAGAGAGAAGGAGAGCATCTTCTAAATTGGTCTGCGCATGTGCACATCCAAATGGGGCCACGCACACCAGCATGGCACTAGCGGCCTCATTCGTGCATGCACAAATTGGTCACGCGCACCTGCCCAGCCCTAGCAGCCCCATTTGCGCATGTGCAAATGGGCTGCGCACATCTGCCCAGCGCTAGCCCCATTCGCGCCCACATACATGCACAAACGGGGCCAAGGGTGCTAGCATGAATGTGGAGGAATATGCACGTACGCGTCAGTGCACCGGCCAGCCATTGCCGCAGCATGCTAGCCAAGGGGCCACAGCCCATAGATTGGGGACCCCTGGTTTATAGTACAATAGGTCAACAGACCACCTCTGTGATACAGGATAGACCCAAATATCATAGCTCCCACCAGAGTAAATCATGTCTTAGAAAGAATAGCAGGTATAAGTCTGGATATTATTAGACAATAACATTTTCCAGCAGTTGAAATTGATTTCTCAGTTTTCCGTACCTGGGGAAGTGGGAATGAAGCTTTTCATCTGTGAATTGGACCAAGTTGCTGTCAATAATGAAGCTTAGAGAGACCAAAGGATCAGATTGGAAAAAATATTGAAGTTTTATCAGTAATCTAAAGTAAAACATGATGTTGCATATCCATTCAAATAGGGCGTTCAGGGAAACTATATGTATAAAAAGAAAATAGAAGAGAACCATATCAGAGAGAAAAATTCAGAGCTTATTGCAATTGTCCAGGTATTTCCAATTAAAATTCATTCAAGGAGCTAAAAGGATTAGGATTTAAGCCTCAGTGATAAAAAAAAAGAGGCTTTACTCTGTGCATGGATTTTGGTCTTCAAACTCTAAGATACAGTTCTGTTGTTAACTACAAGAGTCTGGAACTAAGCCCTAGAGTAGATCAAGTTTTAATTGCATACTGTACTATTCTGCCAATTTTATAAGATAGTCTATTTGAAAATCTTCATTATTTGTAAAAAAATAAAGAGTATAATTGTGTCAGAATTCACATACAGGCTTGGTAATGAATTACAGGTCTCCATACATTGACTCCATAGTTCAGCTCTCAGCCTGCTACAGTGCAAATTAGGATTCTAGGCTGCTTCTCCTACCCTTCAGATTTAATAAATAATTGGAAAGGTCATATGGTGACATTTGGCAATTGAGACACACTATAAACCTCTCTCTTCCCACATAGCAAAGTGGTCCAAAAATGTTACCATCCAGTTCTACAAAGTGGAGAAATCTAGTAGGGAGCCATACGTGAACGCCAACACTATGAGCATGGTCAGCAGTGTCCTTGTAGGAGAGCTGGTACAGTCCTGTTGATCCTTCAGGGGAGACTATGTAATATCTTGGAATATTTGGAGGTCCCTAGAACAGGGAAAAGCTGGAAAGCATTTGGCAGCAGGCATGAGTGGTGGTGATGAACAGCCTGAAATGATGATACCTGACCTGAGACATTAACTTATTATAAGCAACTTCAGAAATCAGATTATGTGTCTGGCCGGCAGCTCATATAGCAATGAAAGAATTGCTTTATGGTGACATTTCTCCTGTTTGTTTCCCTATCTGACTGTGGAAAGTAAGCAGATGATAGATGGAGGGTTATATCCTATAGATGAAACTGAGCTTGCCCAAAATATGCTATGAACTGTCGGCCTCTGTCAGAAATAAAATAAGCTGTTCTGGGGCAGAAAAGAGCCGCACAAGAACAAATGAAAAGGCCCATTTTAGAGAAGAAATCAACTTTCAAAGGATAGCATTCAAGTCTTTGATATACTGTAGGTCACTTCTGTTTAAAGCTAAGGAAACTGTATCCTAAAGCCTCTTTGGGTACTAGAGAGGATGGAACAGATGGTTGGTGGTCTGAAGGCTTGGCACAGTGACAAATGTTGCCAGGAAAAAAACTTAGTTTTGACATCTGCTCTTATGAAAACCCACCCAAACTAGTTTGGGTGGACAATCATGTCCAGCTGACTGCTGTTATGGCAGAGCTGCCACACTTTTTCCCATAAACAAGAAAGGACATATAACTGGTGGCTGTGGAGGGCAAAAGGAAGGGAAAAAGTTTCTTGAGGGTCATTCATCCAAGCCCAGATATATGGGTTCTGCTGTTGCTGAACATGGATTCCTTTCTGGCCCCTAGGGCTGTCAGTTATGAAAGGCGGGATTTATTTATTTTATTTAAAACATTTTTGTAGCTGCCCACCTTTTAACCAACTCTGGGTGGCTCCCAAAGACCTAAAAAGGTGTAAATTCACATTAAAACTATAAAACCAAACCAATTAAAACAAGAAAAAACTGGTGCCAAATCAAAGTTCTAAAGTGCTGGTCTTCTCCCAGTGCTTGGGGGGGAAAGACCAGATCTTCAAAGCTTTATGGAAAGCCAATAGGGTAGAGGCCTGCCGAACAACGAGGCAGAATGTTTTATAGTGTAGGGGTTTTCACGGAAAAGGCATACATCAGATGGCAATATTTAGAGGCAGGGACTAGGACTAAAGGCAAAGATTTCCTAGTACAGAATGATGATTGGAGCAAGGACATTGAAAGTATTTTGACTTACAATGTAAAACATCAATATCCTTATTCTGTGATTTACCAAGGTAAATGACAGCCCCACTAGGCAGACCAGATCAGGAAATCAACCTCACGAAGGCTAAAACTACTTTCATTGAAATTTGGTATAATAATAGACTCTTGCAGATCTGATCGTGTTCTACCCCATCCTCCTTATAGTTCAGTGAATTAGGGAAGTATTTGCCTGAGCTGCTTCAGAATGCTATCTTACTGAGGACCTTAAAAAGCTCACCTCTTTTGCCTCAGTAAATGTTTCTGATTATCTTCAGTGTTATCTTTCTTACTCTCTACATTAAGAGAAGAGAGGAGATAGTGCCAATCCTAAAAAAAATCTTTGCTGATCAAAAGCTCTTTATAAAAAAATAACTTTGGTTGTTTCAATAGGGAGGAGTTGCCCAGAAAGAAAATAAGAGGCTGTCTTCAAATTATAGAAGCACAGTTATAAGAGCTGGTTGTCACACTGACAAGGAGGCTAATAGTTATTTGTAAACAATCCCCAGATACAAACAAGTTAATCTTATCAAAAAAGATAAGACTCTTCATTTATAGACAAAGTCTTTACTCTCTCTCTCTCTCTCTCTCTCTCTCTCTCTCTCTCTCTCTCTCTCTCTCTCTCTCTCTCCCCCCTTCCCTCCCTCCCTCCCCCCCTCTCTCTTATTTGAAAATAGAATTGGCATCAGAACTTTTTTGTTGCTGCTTTAATTTAATAATCAGTGAACAGTTGTCCTTGGGATTAGCCGCTTCTAATCCAGGCAGTTAATGAGAAATTTCATGACAGTATGTAGTCAGAGAAAAAGAGAAGGGGAAAAACAGAGGGAAGATGCAAAGAACAGTATTTAGATTATAGAAGGCATTTTTTTGCATGCTCATATTTTTTTAGATTTTTTAAAATTCTGCCTTTATTATATTTGTAAATAAATCAAGGTGGTGAACATACTCAATACTCCTTCTTCCTACTTTTATCCCACAACAATTACAACCCTGTGAGGTGAGTTGGGCTGAGAGTAACTGGCCCAAAGTCACCCAGTCAGTTTTCATGCCTAAACTGGGACTAGAACTCACAGTCTCCTAGTCTCTAGCCTGGTGTTTTAGTAATCTGGGATTTGGATTTGTTCCTTGCTGATTTGAGAATGTGTCAGTTGTATTTTCCTTCTCATTCAATTCATGGGACCCTAGCTGGGATTATGAGTTACAGGAAGGCACCAAGCTGGAAAAGGCTGTCATCAATGTCTAGATTAAAGAACCATTATGAGGCAGCACCTGTTTGTATCCTAACTGAATTCAGTCCTTCTTTCAGTATTCCAGTTGGGGCTGGCAGTTGCTCTAGGGATTAAATTATTTAAAGCCTTCAGCTGGCCAACATAGGCAAGCAATAGCTTGTAAAATACTTAATCTATTTTTTTTTAAAACTCTTTGCAGGTTGGCTTTACATAGACTGTAAAACTATATGCAACTGTCAGCTGCTGCTGCTTTTCTTTGTGGATACTTGAAATGTAGATTCCTTAAACAATTCTCTTTGCCTCTTTTTAGAATAAAAATAAAATAGAGTAATTGCTTCTTAGAAGCCATCTAAATATATTTTTACAAAGCAAAATCTTGGGAATGTTTTCCCAGTGCATTGCTTTCATCACTGTTCCACTTACAGGTGCTGACATTTGGTAGTGTTGCTGAAAAAGAGCAAAGAATACAAAAATAAATATCTCTTACACTGTATAGTCTGGATGTGCTTATGGAAAACTTTATTTTAATATTGTAACATATTGCACTAGCAATATAGGCTCTACTATATAGGCAAACAGAATACGTTTAATTAATACGTTTAATTAAAGTTTGACTTTGTATAAAATACAGTATATCTATTTCTGGGATTGGGGATAGAGAAAGGCTAATTCACTACATTAAACAGGGCAAATGCATGTGCTAATGTTGCACATGCTTTGAACATTATTCAGAACATGTATTTTAGAGCGCAGAAGAATGCAAACAGCATCACTCTAAACCCAGATTGAGAAAAAATAGCTGTTTTGATGAACTGCATTAACACATGACTGCTTTAACAAGTTGCTTTAAATTAAAATACATTTCTTTTTACATTTTTAAACATTTGACTCCTTATAAACAAATAATCATTTTAGGCTGGCAGACACTTGTAGACACAGTATAAATTAGACAATTTGCAATCTGTACTCTTTGAGAAACAGGAAAAAATAGATGTCAATAGATGGGCAGCTTATTGTATTTTTAAATTATGGAAAAACCATTGCCATTGGAAAAAAGATAAATAGTAATTTTAAAGAAAGAACTCTAGGCATATTTATAATGATCAGAATAAACTAAACATGACTAAGTAAAAAAATAATTAACAGAAAAAAGATTCACATAATAATGCTGTATAATTGATGATATAAACTCAGTCCTTAATGCTATAATGAACTCTAGACTGTCTAGTTTCATCTTATCATTTCTAGAACACAACTACTTTTGAAAAATAAGAGAACAAACTCTAATACTGGAGTCATTTCTTAAAATAAGAAATATTTGAACTTGTTCCCTTATAAAAAAATATTGTTTCAATATTTTCTTGTAAAAGAACTAGGTAAAATACCTAGCATATATCCATGTTATATATCAAAGTGACATATTGTTTGAAATGTTGGATGATGTGAAATGGGAGCTGCAACTCAAGTCTCCCTTCAACCAATCTTCTACTTTTAGCCCAATCTGCTTCTATCAGCCCTCTCAGGTAAATAAGACAAGAAATAGGAGTAGATGAACTAATTCCACTTTAGTGTAAGGCTACATTAACAAAATCTTGCAAGTCTGAAGGCCCAACCTTCCTGCTACCACTTTTAAGTGCTTTATCCATTACCGTGAGTCCTTCCTAGGTTTCTTTCTCTGCCTGCTAAGCCACTGGGGGCTCGGGCCTCTCTTGTCTGATTGTTTCCTAGGCCGCATCTCTTCCACTTTTTCCCCAAGGTCATCTATGCATTCCATTAGAATGTCACAGGGAGCTTTTGTTAAAAAAAAATGGAAGAGGGACTACTATGTTCACAGTTCTTTACTGGTTCATAAAAATGTAAACTTA